CTATCTTCACGTTTGTGATCTAATGTTTGAATTTCAATTATTTGTTAAAATGTAGTTTGGATCGAGAAGAGAGTTATTTAAGATCATGGAGGAACACCATTGCTGCATTTACTCGAAGATATACTCGAAATTCAGTATTGGTTTATTTGTAATTAGTTTAGCAATCGTTCTGATGGTTCGTGTACTGTATGTTATATACCGGTGTGGCAAACCGTTTCCGAAAGGAGCTTCAAAGTCATTTAGTACTCTTATTGTTCTTGGTTCTGGTAAGGAGTTAATACAGTGTCGTCTTATTCAATTGGATTCATGTGAGGTGTATTACATGATTAGATGAAATGTTTCTGTGTGTTGTTTTCATTAGGGGGACACACTGCAGAGATGTTGAGTCTCCTCTCTGTTTTGCGGAAGGATAGATTTACACCGAGGTTTTACATTGCTGCAGCTACGGATAACATGAGTCTCCAGAAAGCTCGTAGCTTTGAAGATTCTGTAGCTGATAAGGTTTAGTTAAATCCTTAATTTCAATTTCGATTTAAATTCTATCCTTCCTCTTTNGATTTTGCTGCTTCTTGCTTATTGTTATTGAGAAGGCTTCTTGTGTTGTTATTACTGGCATTTCTCAGCATGAAACTGGATAATTCTTCAACCGATTTATTGATTCTGTTTTTATGCTTGATATTGGCTGTGATATAGCCTGCTGTTAAGGAAGGCTCCTTACAGTTCATGCAAATTTACCGGAGTCGAGAAGTTGGTCAGTCTTATGTGACTTCTGTCTGGACTACTATTGTTGCTATTGTTCATGCTCTGTGGCTAATGATCCGGATCAGACCACAAGTGGTATGATCTTTATCTGAATGCTTTCAGATCTTCCCAAGGCTTCTTCATAAAAACATTTGAATCAGGTTATTTATTAAATCTGGTTGAAAATTTTCAGATTCTTTGCAATGGTCCTGGGACCTGTATTCCTTTGTGTGTGATCGCTTTCTTGTTCAAGGTATACACACTTTAGAAATATTTTATCTACATTTTGGATGACCTTGAATNGATGTGGCAAAAAAGAATNTTATTTCACTAAGTTCTGGTCTCATCCGTGGTTACAGGTACTGGGAATTAGATGGTCATCTATCTTTTATGTTGAGAGTGTAGCAAGAGTGAAAAAGNTCTCGTTAAGTGGATTGCTGCTTTANAAGTTACGGATAGCTGATCAGTTCTTTGTTCAATGGCCTCAACTGCAAAAGAAGTATCCTCGGGCTCACTATGTCGGGTGCCTGATGTAAACTGGTTGGAACTCTCCTCACACCTAGATTTATTGCAATAACTTAGAATAGCTACAAAGCCTACACTCTCTCTCTCTCTTTATATACAGGATCTAGTCACATTTTCGTTATATTCGTTTTTGGTTGCTATGAACTCAAGTTTTAAACACTGAACTTTTTAAATCAGCTGTTCTGAAGTTGTTAATGCCATTGCACTGAGCTTACAATTTGATTTGGGTAAGCTTCTTCAAAACTATTCCCAAGTCATCCACTTTTTATTTAAATTAAGTCTACTTNCTGTTACAATGATGCAAAAAGATATTCATGCTGAGACTTGACTAGAGTTGCATCACAAAGGTATTCTGCTTAACACCATAGGCTACCTTCAGGCCGATAAGCTTACTCAGCTTATTTTTACTGCCCACTTGACCCTTCTGCTTTTGGTGGGTCAGGGGATTCTGTTGTTGAGATCCCATTGCTTTTCTTNAAGTTTTTGTCATCAAGATAGTGTTGGTAGGCATAGGATGTGAAACCCCAAATTGCTAAGATCATAGAAATCACCTTTAACCCATTCATTTTGTCATGGAAAATGATGACAGCCAGGATAGGAACCACGGGCAATCCCAAAACGCTTATTGCATTTGAAAATAGAGCAGAAAGCTNNAAGATTAGTCCTGTGCCACCAATGCTGAACACCTGCCAGGTAATAGCTGTCCACNCTANGTTCATAATGTAAGATACCTTCCCAAGTTTGTAGTTTTCCATTTCACTGCTCAAAGTTTTCCACTCGCCGCTAGCAAGAAGCCCCACCACGCTAACACAACTCGCCACTAGACTCATATAGATGATTAGATCCATAACTTCTGTAAAAGTTTTCTTCTTGAGGACTTTACGGAAGGCTAGCTGTTGTAGGGCAAATTTAATATGTTTTGACAATGAACTTTTGATGAGTCTTGAACTTAGATTTCTCAGGATTCATCCTTCGGCATTCAACGGTT